CTCTTCTCTATATAAGCGCGTGTCTTATTGTGAAAGAGATACATTCTGGTCATGTAGAGTAGTCAATAAACATCTATACCGTGAGAAGCGGTCAGCTACTCAACCAGTTTGTCATTACAATTAGTAACATCAAAGCCAACGTCTTTTAATGCTTCTGTAATTCGGTCATCAGGAATTTCAAGATCGACCCGTTTGACGAAAGCCACTTTTTCTGTATCCTTGATCCGTTGAATAGATCGATGGACATAGACTTTGACGTCATTTTGACCATTTGCAGCTAATGTTGTTGTCATAAATATACTGTTCATTAATTAACAACATATATGTATATATATAACAGTCAAAATTTTATGACAATCATTTAGAGATTAGAGACTAGTTTCTATTTTTTTGATTTAAACAGCAGTTCTACAACCTATTAAAAAAATTCATAAAAATCAAGAATTATAATACTCACTCGAATACCGGCTATGAAAAGTCCAAAGTGTGCCACAGTGTCAAAATGAAGTGATTCACGAATCATTGGTAAAATACAATAAAAAAGAAGATTTCGTATTTCAGTTGCTCTATAGAATGAAAATGAAAGATGAATATATGTTCGTGAGAATTTCTTACTTTATGTATGGCTGATCAATCATTTTTATTTTTCGATTAAATGTATGTGAAAATCGTTGACAACGCATTTTTCCATCGAGTTGATCATGTTGTGTACGACTCATATGGTTTTTATAAAGATGAAAACATATTGTTGTAGCGTGACCCAGGAGAGTTACGTGAAGATAATCTACTATTATAGATGTTGGTAAAGGAATATCTGCAACACTTTCGAGAATCGATATTCCATGACGTCCATTGATGTCGCCTGGACAATTTTGCGCCTTCCTCGAATCATTTGCAAAGCTACGCTCAGTTCTCAAAGGAACATTTTCGTCATAATAGTATTGTCTTTTACCATTTATGTGTACACCTTCAAGTTGACAGAACCAACAGCAAGGATATCCAACATGTGACTTATGATTTAGAATCATATTCAAAGCAGGAATATCACCTATAACTCCGTACACTTTTATCATTATTCGGTCACCTGACCTTGAGGAAAATCCTACAAAGATGCATAAAAATAACTTTGAGATTATGAAAAATCCATGTGATTATGATTAAAATTTTAGTTATATTAAATGAAATATTTTAATAAAAGTTTTCGAACAACTAATCAGTATTGATCTAGCACATATGATTAGATAATCGTAATATAAATAACTTCTAACACGTTAATCATTCGCTTCATTAGAAAGAAAGAATACTGTACTACATTTGTTATTCTTAGCTTGTTTCATTCCTGGCTTATCATGTTATCTAGATCAATTAGATGATATTCGACTTAGCGTATGTATTTGCTAATGAGTAGAAAGACTTTTACAGGAGAACAAAGATGTTCAATATGAAGAAACAACTCTACATCATCTAGAATACTGAACTGGCGTTGAAAAGACTTCAAACGATATCTATACAATCTGCTTCGATAACTATGCCCAGTGTGTTAAGTACCAACAAAAAATTGATTTAAATCGATTTTTCCAATTTTAAGCGATTATAATCCAGAAAAGACATGAAATAATGGATTTTAATCAAGTTTCAAAATTGTAACTGATTTTTTTATGATGAGAAATCGATTAAAATGAGATTTTCTGCGTTTTTTCCATAGGAAGCCATTCTTTTCAATCAATGAACAACACGGGTCGTTGTTCTTTCGGTTTTATGCTGCTTATTATTCATGCATCAATCATAAAAAACGATATAGATGCATTTTTGCTCAAAATCTGGTGCACTGAATTGTTTCAGATGATGACAACCGAGATGACGGATCAAAAATCCAGTGTGCTACAAATAATAATATCATATAAGTAATTAAATTTGTTGTTTTCACGATTCTTACCATGTTTTTCAAGCTCAAAAACTGCATTACATATTGATCCGCTAATATGTAATGGGACAAACTCTTTCGGTGATGACTTTTTCCATTTGATCTTCCGATCGAATACTAATTTATCTAATCTGGCACCTAAATCAGTCACCATTTTAACAATATTCGATCGACTACCTAGTGTAGAAATTAAGGTTTTCGCATCGATTGGTTGAAGGGCGTCGAGTGCGGCTTGATCAGTAATGTTAGATATTAAACCATTGATATGAATTATATTTTCAATAAATGTTTGACACATATTATTTTCAGCAGCATCATATTTGTAGAAATTTTTATCCACATTTGCTGCCGTCGAAATTAATTGGTTGAGTGTTAATGGTAGATTTGGTGTTAGAGGAATATCATACACATCGATTAATTCATCGGGTATAATGGGACGTTTCAAGGCTATACGTTGTGCTTTCTCTAGTTTAAGAATGATAGTAGCAGTTGAATTGTGTTCTGAACTTCTGAGTATATGTTGTAATACATGAGGTCCATGACTATTAATAATAGTAATGAGTAAATAATTGTGATAGATTTCATCATAGCCAAGTTCAAGCTGTTTATTATTAAATTTCGAATCACTTAAAAAGTTAAGTAATTTAATAGGAAGATCTTGAACGGGTGTACGACCAAGTTGAATTTTAAGAATAAGTTCATTACCCACTTTTTCCAACAGATTTCTTACTCTTAATGGCATTTCTGGATCATCTTTTGCAGCTATAAATTCTCTGTGATTATTCTTAAACTGTAAATAGCAACTTGATTGTTTTGTAAACAAAATATAGGATTCATAGTTTTTATTCTCACCTTTTCATTTGCTATCATTGTTGTTTTAAGTCAATTTTCGACAACTTAAATTTTGTTGTATCAACAGTAGTAAATTTAGTCTAAATGAGAATCAATGAATCGGACAATTAACGAGGAATCTAGTTTTATAATGATCATTTCAATTTTCATTAAATAATTCAATTTACTGGATGTCCCAAAAGTTCTGTTACCAGAAGTTTTCCCATTAATTCCACATTTTTTTTCTTTCACAATGAGAAGTAATACACGTTCAAGAATATTTAGAAATAGTTAAAATTGTTGAATAAAATAGCATGAATAATCGAAAAACTTATCACAAAAGGACTTTTAGAACGCCCGATAATTTGTGACAGTACAATCGATTCATTTTATTCATCAATTATAATAGTAGCCGGGTTTAGTATGAGAATAACAGAAATCATTGTTTCAATATTTTCAATACGTTGACTTTCGCGAAAAAGTTTGAAAAATTTACTTCAAATTGTATTCTATATTGGTATCTATATAGAGAAAGGATCCTTCAACGCTTACCTTTGTGCTCTGATATTCGATGTCAAAATGAATATTTAGTTATTCTAACCACGCGCACATTCTTATATATTTTTTACAGCCATCTGCTAACATATCACGCTGTAAATATTGACACACACCTCTTGCCATTTTCTTTTTTTCCTGCGCGTATTTGAGTAGTATCACAATACCATTCTACGTTTGATTTAAATTTTTTTCTTTTTTCATAGCAACAAATTGTTCAACATTTGAGTCATCTCCGTCAACGGCAATTGGAAGCATTCAAAGGAATAACGAAATCAGACGTACGAATTTTTAGTCGTAAACTAATTACATTACTAACTTAGAAGAGATATTTGATGTTTCTGATTCGATATTCAAGGAAAAGATTGTTGGCATGTACATACGATTTGTTTTCTTTTCAGATGAAATCTTTGAACCTGTGGAAACAGTTTGTCGTTCAGAATTTAAATTATTCTTCGCTAAAGTTTCATAATTGGATTGATGTTCTTCTGTATATGATGATTCTTTGTTAGATTTTGAAAACAAGTGTTTTTGACTTTTCCGATTACCATTACTGGACGTTACCTAATAGATATTATGATAATAGGATTATATAGTAATATCATATTTTATTTTACTTACCTTCGATGCCCAGTGAGATGGTTTTCGCTTTGATCGTCGGACCAGTTTTACTTTGATCGATCGTAGTTTTTTTTATACAATTGATCTTTGACAATATAAAATAGAAAGAAATGCAATTTATATAGTTGCATTCATCAATTCCATTGATGCCTTATCTGTGTCAATAATGTCTGATTGAATTTTGAAGAGAACAAAGAACCAGATATACCTCTTTTCTTCTGCATTTTTTATTCAATATTTTATAAAGGAAAAGTGTCAATATAATATGAATTCGCCCTTAAAGGGTGTCTCATAATAACTGAGGATATTTTGTTCCCTATGTTTTCACTACTTTCACTCAACCTAGGGAGCCGAAAAGTTTACCATGCATACATCTTATGAAGATCTTTAATTTTTGAAAGTTTCAGCTCTCTACCTCTAACCAGTGGGAAATATCACTGACAAAACTAAATGTTTCTTTTTTCAAAATCGACATTTCAATATTTTCGTCATAGATGCGATCCTAATACAGTTGTTATAACAAACTAAATTGCCAATTAGATCATCACCATCCGCTTTAATGCTTACAAAGTGACATCAGGTCTTCAAAACGTTTTTATCATACATGTGCGCTTATATATAGACTAATATGTCAGAAACAAGTATCCGCGAATACAGAAAAGAACGAGAAAAAAGAAAAGGAGAATATCAGCAAATGATATCACATGAAAGTCATTCAGATTTGTTCGTTAGTATCATACAAGTCTAGCTAGACGTAACATTGCTCATGTTTTATGATAAAATCGATGCGAAATGTCCATTAGCTACGATAATAGAAAGAATTTTAGAAACTTTATATTAACTTTAAAGCGTCTGAATTCCACACGGAGTATTAGCCGTATGGTTCATTTTATTGAAAATTGTGATAATTCACATCCATTGCCATATAAATCATTACACAACTGTATTTCATGAATATTGAAGAGAGGGACAATTGAAGATAAAGAAAGATCGGGTCGTCCCGCAAGAACTACCAATTTCGAATTTCACTAAAGTATCAAACATCATCTCAATATGAAGAAAGGTGCCTCTATTAGAAAAACCAATGCTATTCTTAAAGAAAACCAATTTCAATCATCGAGAGCTTCTGTTCGCCGAACAACCAAAAAATTAAATTTGCATTCGTATAAAAAGTGGAAATCTCAGAAATTAACTGATGCTGATAAACAAAAACGTCTTAAATGTGCAAAGAGATTGAGAAGAAGGTTTAGTATTAAAAAAACTCTAACAAATGGTAATGGAATCTTATTGTCAATTCTGATTTCTCGGATTTATTTCCTCTTCAAAGTTTTCAGAATAAAAGAAATGACGATGTATGGATGGAAGAAGGCGAAGAAATCGAAGGTGATTTAGTTAACGCTCAAGCAGTTAAATTTCCCAATGATTTAATTTTTCGGGGTGCAATATCGTCGCAAGGTCTCATTCGATCGAATGTACCTATTAATGTTACGAAGTGACTAGAAAAACAACGTACTTCCTTGAAAGAAAAACGAAAATGAACGTATTTAACAAGTGAATTGTATGCGAAATTCTTGAAAGAGCAGACAGCTCCAGCAATTAAAGCAATATTTAGAAAAGTAAGATTGGATCCGATTTTTCAGGATGATCAAGATCGAAAACAAAGAATAAAACTGGTGATGGAAATAGTGGACTGTCTTTTTACTGATCGCCCTAGGGAAAATCTTGGAGCTTTCAGCCACTGAACCTTGCAGGAACGGACGCGGATCTTGCAAGGATCCACTGTTTTTTCCTGAGGAAACGCGAAAATCCTGAAAGAAGTGTGTAGCCACGGTTTTGCAGGATCCTGTCAAGTTTTCCGTTGAACGAATGACAGATAATAGCAGGATTCATTACTGTTTTAATGCCAGGATCCGACCAAGAAATCAAAAAATCCTGGAAGAAGTGTGTAGCCACAGAATTAAAGGATCCTGACAAGATATTGAACAGAAAAATCAAGGAATTATCAAGTTTATTNGATCCTGACAGGAATTTATTCAGTGAATCTTGACAGTTTCTTGACAAAATCTTGTTATAGGATGTTTTTAGCATTCCTTCAAAAATCTGGATAGGATCCGGCATCAACCTGAACACAGTTATGATTTATCGATCAGAATTATAATCTGTCAAGGAACCGTGAAAACTCTTGAACAGGATTTCGTCTGATCCTCGATTATCCTGTAATGAGGATCCTAGTAGGATTAAATCAATATCCTAATCAAAACTTGCCAAGAACTTGAATAAGGATCTTGTCGGGATATCAAATAAGATCCTCAGTTAAACCTGACAAGATCCTATAGTTTGAGGATCCTGGAAGATCCGTGCAGGAATTCTAAAAGAATGATCAGGATTAAGACTAGGGCGTGTACAGCCATACGATGCCGATGCAAAATTTGCTGATATATGGCGAATAGAGATTATTTTTATGAGGCTCAACTCAGCAAAAAAGTTCAACCGATCGAGCTGAAATTTTGAGGAGTGACTACCAACTATGAGGTCTTCAATTTTTGAGAGTTTCATTGAGATTAGTCGCGCTTTTGCCCATAGGCCAAAATACGATCAAGACGTGCTCCGTTCTTTATTAATTTTTATCATTTTTAAGTTATTAAATCGTCTGATGAGATTCGTAATTGAATCGAAACGCGTCATGACAGTTAATCTCACACGCTCACCCTGTCACGTCTGCATTGGATAAAATAAAAGTATGAATATTTCTTCGAAAACATCAACGATTTTTTCGAACATTCCCAGTTAAATGTTTTTATTCTGGATGAGAAAGAAGAGAAGGTGGGGATAAAACGATAATGAAATATTTTGCGTTCGTCTTTCTGTCGATATTCGAACCTGCACTTCTAAAAAAAATCAGAGAATTGTATGATTACTGGGAATTAATCACGAAGTCTTGTTAATGTAAATATAAAATTCTGATTTTTTCAACATTTTCTTATATAAATACAGTTGAATTAGAAATAAAAATCATTTGATCTTTCAACGAACATCATCAAAATGCCAACTCAATCACGATTAAGTCTCAACACATTATCGGTTGAATTAGTCTATCGCATTCTCGATTGCATGGATCTTTTAAATATCTTTTGGTCATTACAATGCGTTAGTCAACGATTAAACACAATTCTCAAAACTTATTCACGATATCAAGTATATTTACAAACTTTTCAAGAAATTATGATCGACATTTCGTAGAAATCTGGATAAGCTGATGTGAATTTTAATATTCGATCAATCTTTTATTTTAATTTTTTTAGACTCTTGAGACCCTTGGTTGTTCATGTTGGTCGTCAAACATATTCGAAGTTTACGATCGTCAGGTAAAGTCTCTTTCGATCTTTGATTGGGTATGATTCACTGTCTCTCACAGTTATACAATTACTTGTATTCATATGAGTTAATCTATAGCCTCAAGATCATCTAGAAATCTGTCAAACCGATAATTTCGAGAATACATCCTATTCCGCAATGTTGCACATTTGGGAATCAGTTCCGCACACGGAATCAGTTCCCACGATTCCGGAATTCACCCGAAGCAATTCCGGAATCGATACACAGTATTCCGCGGAATTCCTACCAATTCCGGAATTACACCCACCCCCTTCACCCTCACATATCATCTCCCCTATACACCACCCAATTCCGTTTACGGAATTCCGGAATCGGCTGAAGGAATTCCGGAATTCATTGAACTTGTGTAAAGACGGAATTCCGGAATCGTAGGAATCGATTCCGTGTGCGGAACTGGTTCCCAAATGTTCAACATTGCGGAATAGGATGACTGCTCATAATTTCAAAATCTTAGATATTTTTTAGGATTTCTCTGAGTTTATTGACTTTTAACTGTTAATATTGTATCATTTCTCGAATAGCACGGGAATACTCATGTACGGTGTGATGCCATTTCTGGAATTGGTCATTTGACAAGAGCGCTTCAATACAATACGATAAGAAAACGGAAGTTATTTTGTGAAAAGTTTCGATTCAAACGTTATAAAGATGAAAAAACGAAAATCACCGAATAATAAGTCCGAAATCAAATTCTAAATGAATTCATTTAGACACTCACTGAACTAAATTTCGACGGCGCAGAAGAAATTGAAAATTATCTGTCAGAGCGTTTGATTATTGCCTTAAGATACAATACGGTAAAATGACTTTCGATTTTATTGTTGCTAAAATATTCGTTTCAGACACTTAAACACATCAGTTTTAAAAACATCGAAATCTGTAACACACAATTTCATTGTTTACAAACCATATTAAACTTGAACTCAGTAATAAAAGCTTTGTGGTTTTTCATTTATTTTCAATTACTTTATTCATTTAGACATCAATTGAATTAACAATCCATAAGATTGAAATCTATGGCATGAATAATGAATTACTAGGTCATTTAATTGATTTTGTTGAGCATAATCGAATACATCTGTCTGTTGTGCCTCCTCAAAAAGTGAGTACACTACTAAAATCGCTCAGTGTGTACGGTCGTCCGTTTATCCGATAACTCTCGAAAACTTTGAGTGATTGACAAAAATTTTTCTTTCGCAGATTCTCCTCATCAATATCTTGATTGAGTTCGAAGATGAGAAGGATCAGTCAAGAAATGATCCCGCGGGTCCTGAGGGGGAGTACAGGGATTTCGAAAAATAAACTTTTTTTCTGCCACATATATTGCTATAGCCAGTTTCATGGCAGCAACTACGTCTTGAAATGATGTCTCATAAAGAAACTCTTGGGTCATCAAGGCGTTTAAGATGAGGGTACTTTGTGATCTTTCTATGCTATACGAGAACAATAGCTTGGTTTCTTCAGTTTTAAACTATGAGAGTATTCTTGAGTTTTCCATGAAGTCTCTCTAACTGCCGTGAAAGTTTCTCGGGAGTAGCGTTATAGGAATATCTCGTTTAGATTCGTAACACTCGGCTGCCCAAACTTACCCCTTATTGATCATTGTAAAACCTATATATGACAGTTAGAATGCTCAGTAGCTTAAGTCTCGTACATTCTTTAGAGTACACATAACTTTCGGATAAAATCCGAAGTTTCCGCATTTATTCTTTATTGAACAATTTGAAAATATTTATATTATTCATATTAGACACTAAAAATATCGTTTATTGATTCCGCGTCTAGTAATAATATGACTGAACAACTGAAACTATTGGTTTTATTAAACGTGGAATAACAGTAAATGAAATGTTTTTATTAGTTAAAGTGTAATCTACTGTCTTTTATTATTGAATACAGAGCGAAACTCAATTGGATCTATCGCAGATGTGTTTGGCTGATAGAGAAATAGAAAGTTTAGCCGATGTATTACAACTAGCAGAGTCATTAGAACAAAACAATGTAAGAGCGATCAACCTTTCATTATGTTCCATTTATGTGATTTCTCTTTAGACACTGATTGGATTAGACCTTTCACAAAACACCATGACCTATCTAGGTCGTTCTTATTTTAAAAATGCTCTAGTAGAGAGTCAAGTAAATAACTACCATTTGATTTTCATACATACTCAGGTGCTTTCTATAGACTTTAATACAATTAAAATATGATGCCAGCTATGGCCCAATTCGTGAGTTGCAACAACCTCTAGCTCTAAGCAAAATAATTGATCAAATGCAGGTATTAGAGATCTTTCTATTTTGAATTTAATTCAGAGAAATTCTATTCTTTCGATCAAGGCATGTACTCGATTAGATTTGAGTGATGGTAGAATCAATTCAAATGATATTCAATTATTTGCTACGGTATTGAAAACTAATTCGGTAAGAGAAATTTTTCAATCAGTTCATTTAGAATTTGAAATATAGACGAACAAAAAGTAGAAGATATAATATTTGAATTTTTTCCTTATTGTATATATATATATATATATATATATAGACATTAACCGAATTAGATCTTCAGAATAGTAACATTAATACTGAACGTACAAAATACTTAGCTGAAGCATTAAAAGAAAATAAAGTAAAGATCAATTTCTTATTATTTTACGTTGTACAAATGTACTGTTTTGATAATAGACACTCGTTACGGTAAATCTCATAGCTAATACAATTGGTGAAGAAGGAAAATATCATTTGATGCGTAATATTATTCATAATACGGCATAGAAGAAATGCTTGATTTTATTTTAAATTTAATTGTTCATCAATGCATTTGGACACTGAAAAAATTGTTGGTTAACAATCCTGGAAATCTAGTTAAATTAGTAAAGTCTTTAACTGATCAAATAAATCAAATGCTAGTAACCACAGATGCAAAGCTTGATCTTAGCAACAAATTACCTCGTTCTTCTATGTTAGGTGAAATAGAGATGCTAATATTAGCAGAAAAATTGAAATCTAATACTGTATGATGAATTCATTTTATTAAAATATATCTATTTGTCTACGTAGACATTTACTGAACTTGATTTTCATGCGAATGAAATTAGTAATTATGGTGCACAATATTTAGGTGATGTCTTGATGTTGTGGATATAGATACTTATTTGCGTTCTACACTCACTCCAGATCTTGCACCATTACTTATGCACTTATCGTATGGATTAAAAAGAAAATAAATTGTCTAATAATCAAGACAATTTATTTTTGAATTTAAATATAAAAGATACCGTTTATTACAGCACTGTCTTGGTTATAGAGATGAGTAAATCAAAGTCATTTTTGAACTTGATTTGAGAATTTCTCATAAGCCAAATCACATAGATAAAAGTTCTTCATCTGAAATATCTTAGATAATGTTAAGGAGGATTTTATTTGACTCGATGAACCCCTGCTGACTTCACCCTCTCAATACACCCCTCACAAGTTTAATGTTGATCATTATTCATATTTTATTTTAAACATTTATCGATGCACTGAATACAATTACAAAAGCCGTGAAAAAGATCGATAATATTGATGGAGTTGAAATAGTAGCGAGAGCAGTAATAGTAACATCGGCACATGATAACCACATAACTCCAGGACCAACTTCGTTATTACGCCAAAAAAATTGAAATATTCCATCTGTAGTGGCAACTGNTTATGTGGTGGCAACTCATAAAAAACATACAAACAGGTATATTTTAATTATTTACGAGTTTATTTGAAGCTGGACGTATATATACGTCGCCCGTCCCCAAGGGGTTAAAACCGCTTATTTATATTATACAAAAGCACAAGACCGCCAGAGTAAAATTTACACGGAAAACATTCTCTATCTAAAACAAGAAACCGATACTGAAAAGAAGTTTCCTTCGATACATTTGAATAATACGAGAACAGATATTCGGTAAAGAAAACAAAACAGAATACGATGATACAAATTCTCGATGAAAAACCTCACTTTTCCAAACACAGCTTTGAAAATGTTTATTTTGAATTAAATCTAGCGAAATCATAAGCCATCTGATGAGCCTTCCTGAGTACAAGATGAAACTAGTCATGGTAGCTCTACTCACCCTCACCCTCATTCCGAATTTCATGGTCTAGCTCTTCAATCCATTCCAAGATCTTGTCCATGTTTTCGAGAAGAACGTTCTTGATTATCGGAGCATCGTTGTTTGAGAAATCGGAGATGAAAGGACCAATGCATGCCACGATATAATCAGTCGTTGATACGATCATCATTGGTTTCAGTAGAGACCGCTTCTTGTGAGTATTGAATGACTTTCGCTGGAATGCATTGTTCGGAGACTTCTAGAAACAGAGAGATGATTGGGAACCAAATGTACAGATATATGCTTACTTGAATGTAGATGTAAGTTCCATCCAAAACGAGAATAGCGGTGTCCTTGCCACATGAGCGAACCCTAAGTTAAATGGAGTGAAAGATACCTTTAACGCTTGTCGGGCACTGTTGATGACTCGAGGAACCGTTGTCGGGCAAGTCGAACATGATTGCTAACAACCGATTCGATAGGCCAAGACGAAGTTTGCACAGATAAACACCGATGGCAGTACGAATCGTTCGTTGATACGATTTTCTTGCGTCAGAAGACAAAGAAACGATTTAAACTAGTTGATTAAGTTCATCCGTCGTGAGACTGGTTAAAGCCGATCATAAGTCATCAGATAAGGCCCATGGATCGTCGAAGTTGAAGCGTTTTTTCCCATTGTAAAGAGTGCGAAACTTTCCTTAGATCGTTTGGGTGAGGGTGAGGGTGGGTGACGGTTCATTGGTTTTTTTTGGGCTCGGTGCCTGGAGATAGGTAGCTGGAATCAATGATCGGGGGATCTGTGTGCTTAGTGGAGGATTTTATGTAGGTCAAGTGTTGAGTTATTTTCGAGCTGTTCATAATGCCATGTGAAGCTGATAGGGGTTTGGAATGGCTAGGGGTGGTGTCAGAAGACAGTTGAAATGGCTAGGTGTTCCAACTTTTATGCAATTGCAACTGATCTTATGAGCAATAGAAGAATGACGCATAAATAATCGTATGTATTACCGTAGCTAAATGCACTGAAGGTGAAAAATAGAAATATCAAAAGATACGTTCGCTAGAGTCAGACGTGTCAAATGTAATCCTAATTCATTGAGTTAAACCTGTTCAATATATGGAAATTTGACAAAGACAAAGAAAGAAAACTGACACGATTAAGTGATGATTGTTGTTGGTGTTCGCAGTAAACTTGTATTAATGGTAAAAGTATTCTTTTGTAGTTGAGTGTTTGTTCTAGTTGGGCTCATAAATGGGAGTTAGAGATGCTTTTTCGCGGAGTTGCCTATTTCTGGATGGAATGGCGATTGGTCTCGTGGTAGCGAAGTTGATGGGCAGAAGTATGTAGATGAGGATGCCTGGAAAGTGGGATTGACTTAGGGCACACTAAGATTGCTGCTTGACGTTCTATATTTTTGACTCTTGTGTATTCTTCGTGGCGCATTTGATATGTTGTGTATGGTTGCGACGTTGTTTGATTGAAGTGGCCCAAGTGCTTATTGTATTGCGTCGTCGTTTCTTTCTTCTTATTGTATATTGCATTGGTAATATAAAATTGAGGTTTTTTATGCCTCTCCAAAAAGAGTAGGAAAAATTCAGTATTTTGTTTTCGAAAGTTACTAAATATATCTGCGCAAGACATTCGAACTGTTTCTTCGTGTATAAAAAATTGTTAGATCAATTTGTGCCACATTGCGGATACGAAAAAATACCTGTTCTACACAGTCGAGGGTTAAGTGAGTCGGCACGGCGAGCGCTACTTGTAGTTAAATGTAGTGTTTTAGTTGTCATATCTGACCATGGAGCATCACCATCAGATGTATGACTAAAAAATTAATTTCTGCTGTTATATCTTTTACCACATCTAATATCAAAAATGAACTAAGAAAAAAAAAAGAATGAATGAATATTTTCTTATTAGATATGACCGCATTGCTCTTTCTTTTTCATTCGTTTGTTTTATATTTAAATAAAATGATATGTTCTTATTTTATACGAATTAGAATGAAAGAAATGATAAAACTAAGTGAACTAGATGTTTGATTCTTTTATAACATACAAAGACAAGCATCGTCACATTCTATTAACGGAAAGTAGATCGTTCCTCTGTTTGTACTACATTCTCGACAATGTGGGATTCAATAGGATAAGAATATAATTATTGCTGTGACGAAAAGAAGTTTTCAGTAAAATACAATTGTCAACAAAGTATATCGAATATGTCTGATAAATTTACACAAGACTATTGACGTATATTAGAATACCACTTTTATTATCTGTTCTTGTTTATAAATTGAGAAAATTTGAATGTAATAAATTCGTTTTCATTTCAAGTTCTTATTTTCCTATTGAAAAAAATATATTCAAAACGTATAATTTTGCTTCTCTCTGCCAGTGTAGTTTGGACGTTCATCTCTAATTAGTATTCTGTCTGTATATTCTCTTCTTCTCCATTTATTTGCGACGAAATAGTGGCAACACCGAAACAAAGACAGTGATGTTCGATGATATCAAATATCGTAACCTTGAAACTAAGCCAGATTGGAAAATTAATTTTAGTAATTGTCTCTCAAGGAGTAATACTCTTCAATCCCTTTTATTTTATGAAAAATTTTAGAACGCCCGATCTAACTACGAAGTATATGAGGCTTTATTTCATTTTATCAACTCTATATTCATCTACTGATCTGTCGACACCATTACTGCTATTTAACTTTGATCAATCATGCTGGTTAGACAACAATTTTCTTCGATAATTATCTGTCTTCTTCTCTTGTGTTGCGCGTTTGTTGGTGTAGCAATGGATCCTTGCTGCACGGGCTACCATAACAAAGAATATCAACATACACATCAGTGTACAGGACGTTCTGGGGGCTGTTGTGCAAACAACACTGTGTTTAGTCCCGCTCATAATGGTAAAATTGGTACTATAGCAGCACGACCAGTCAATGCACAATCGAATCAAGGTGCCTATTGTGGTCATTGTTTTTCGAATTACAAAAAAAGGTGTTAAATTAAAAGTAGCTGTTTATGTGATTAACAAATTTTAGTCTCTAAGATTAGTTAGAGATCAATAAACGAGCTATAATATTTTATTCAAGATCTTAGAGAGAATTTTTATTGTATAAAAGAAATTCTTCCCGTTTGACAAACGAAAATCATACACAAGAATAGAAAATCTTCTAATCAATCGTCTGAACACCATCTTTTGTGGGGATGAAGGCGAGTATGTGCACGAATGGCTATAAGTACAATATTGATCTGTCACTTACATCCACACCTTCAAGATTTTAATTAAAAAAAAACGAGAGTGTGGGTGTGCGTGTTGTGCTATTCTGCTGTACTCATCAATACTTAAACGCAGTACATGTTCTGATTGCATCATATTATGAACAAAAAAGTTTCGATGGCATATGATGTTAGTGATATGCGTGCCGTATCTCTTATAGAAGCATCATCTATTCACTTTTTAAAAGGTGTATGCGTTGGAATATTATAGGTGTAGTGAGAAATATCATACTATGTTATGTTTATACCTGGTCATCCACTCCGCCTCTTTTCCCTCTTTTTTCTATTAATTAAAAGTATGAATATTTTCAGATCTTTAGCAATGAGAATACTGTTTTTTATTGTCGTCACTATAATCGACAAAGGATTCAACACTTTAAAACAGAATATGTTTAACATGTTATCAATAGTATCTTTGAGAAAAGCTTAAGTTTAGTTTCACATAGGTACTACTTTATAACTTTGTCCGTACGTTTTGAGTATCACCACATTTCTCAATAAACATGAATAGAAATCGCCTGATCGAAAAAGTACAGCATCTAATCTTTATATAAGACTTTATTGTCTTCTTCAAATATGTTCATTTGTAGATAGAAAAAATCCATTTTTAACATCATTATCCAGGTCGAGCAATCCCATACTCGGATTCCATCGGATCCAATATAGGATTTTATCAGATCCTACAGGAATTCGACGGATCCGAAACATGGATTTTCTAAGGGTCATAACAGAACATAGCTAAAAAGATCGCTCATAAAATTTGCAACAACCGACGGGATTTTTCTAGTCGGATTCCAATGCAATTCCGTTTCCAGGAATCCGATCGGATCCAGCATCGGATTTGTTGACCTGGGAAGAACGATGTTTATTTTAGTTTCGAGGATTGTAATAGACGATCCATAATATACTGTGAGTTAGTGTTTATGATGGCACACAGTCGTGCCATGATCTGTATGCACACTTGCGGAAAAACTTATATCATTTATTTTCTCGACAAAAGATTTTCTGGCAAATGTGAGTTTTCGAAGAAAAAGCATTCATATCATAAGAAAAAAACAAATTTTAAAGGCTGATAGTTAATACCTAATTCACATAATATTTTAAGAAAGAATATGTTCATTATCATATTTAGCTCCACACACCAATCGTCTTCTATTTAATCTTGGGTGTTGTGGATATAAATACTTATTTGCGTTCTACACTCACTCCAGATCTTGCACCATTACTTATGCACTTCGTATGGATTAAAAAGAAAATAAATTGTCTAATAATCAAGACAATTTATTTGTATTTAAATATAAAAGATACCGTTTATTACAGCACTGTCTTGATTATAGAGATGAGTAAATCAAAGTCATTTTTGAACTTGATTTGAGAATTTCTCATATACCAAATCACATAGATAAAAGTTCTTCATCTGAAATATTTTAGATAATGTTAAGAAGGATTTTATTTGACTCGATGAACCCCTGCTGACTTCACCCTCTCAATACACCCCTCACAAGTTTAATGTTGATCATTATTCATATTTTATTTTAAATATTTATCGATGCACTGAATACAATTACAAAAGCCGTGAAAAAGATCGATAACACTGATGGAGTTGGAATAGTAGCGAGAGCAGTAGCAGTAATAGTAACATCGGCACATGATAACCACATAACTCCAGGACCAACTTCGTTATTACGCCAAAAAAATTGAAATATTCCATCTGTAGTGGCAACTGATGGAACAGTTATTTGAGCTTGAACAATTTGTCCCACTTGGAATCCATTAGCTGGTGCAGGACCAATTGATGATGTTGTTGATACATTTACATAAAGAAATGAAATTGGAGCAAATGTTGAGTTAGGAATCGTCCCATCTCGATAAAGAATTTGCCAACCATCTGTTGGATAAATAGTTTGATTTTCTGGTGAATGAATTTCAGAAATGAATATTTGAAGAGTTTGTAATGAACCAGCTGACCATGAAACACTTGTGCTACCATTAAATCCTGGATCATATGTATTACCCAATGAAGCAGTAATTAACAATGATGAGCCATTACAAGTTGTCTGGCTTGTTATACTTGTCATCGACAATGTACTATTGGATGGTAAAGTCCAAACTGGTCCTTGTGCTCCCAATGTACCATTAGAAGTACATGATGAATTTGCACAATAAATATTTTGAGGAATTGGATAAATAAAATAAGCATGGCCAGAAATTCTTGATACAAAATGGATCAAGATTGCAAAAGCAAGAACGATAATACAACGAGTCAGCATTATCTAACTGATTTGAAGAAATTTGTTTGTTAAGAGAACATATTTCACTATAAAAACACTTTGGTGAACTATGTACTATTTACGTACATACGTAGTACACTTATGACGAAATAAAAGTACACGAGTATATAAATATGTACATATATGTTTGACGTTAAAGACTTTTGATTTCAATGTCTTCGATCAAAAATTATTCGTCACAGGTAAATATACGTTGCCTAATTGGAATTCGAATCTAAATGCACATTCATCTATTTGATATCACTTCAAAAAATAAATGGCAAAGGTCGAACTCGATTGTTTCTATAAAACATAAATACTTTTTCTTTTATCAATAGGTGATTAAAGTTCGCGACATCTCTGTTTATGAATTGGATTTACTAAAAACAAAAGCAAAATCTTCATTATCCAACAACTATGTCTATAAAAGCGTTTCACGACATCTACATTTGTAGCTATAAACATTGGCCATAGAACACTCGATTCAATATTTTTTTCGTTCTGTAAAAATATGTTGTTTTCCTGTGTTTTACTCAATCGTTGTATATACAAGGTAATCAACAATACGTCACTGGGAAAAAATGTATAGAAGATGAGTGTTGAGTGGAGAAGATTTCGTTTGTATATATGAGAAACTATTTAACAAATATCGTACAAAATGAATAATTCAGATACAAATACGAAGTCTGAAATGATCAGTGATGTTGCTGTCACATCAAATGAACAATCTGTCGATCTAACTGATGTCAATGTTTTAATAACAACTTTTCGAAGCGATGCAACAAATGAAGATATACAAAAATTAATTCGTCGAGAAATGCAAGTTGAAGATTTACCAATTGCAAAAGAACTTAAAGAAATGCGATCTCAGTCTGAAAATGCACATTTATCGACACAATTTGAAACAAATCGTGAACGTGTTCAAAATCAATTTATTGCTAATAGTGTCAATGCATGGATTGACACAGCAATGGATTCTTTGCATATTGTTGCACATGCCAGTGCCATGAGTATAAATTTCAATTTTATTTTTATACAAGTCAATTGATTATATTACGCTTTCTTCATTTAGCATCATTATTAGGAAATGCTTTAAATACAAAGGGAATTCAATCAATTCCAGCTGCAGCAATTGATCACGGTCGAAGTCTTCTCGATAGAACACTCTCGATTTATTCTCGATCGGTTCAACAAGCACATGATGGTACAAATTGTTTACTTGGTGCGATTGAGAAAAATAATAATACTAAAAATAATCCTAAAGTAAATAAAGCATTAGAACTATACAAAAGAATTTATTTGAGATTTAAAAATGGCCAAAGTGATGTTAAAGAAGTGGCAGAATCACATAGTCAACTTGTTCATGAAATTGAAGAAGCAGAACCAGATGAAACAACAGAAGTAAGACAGGAAGCGAAGAAATCGTCAAATTTATGGAAAGTAGCTCTTCTCATTGGTGGAATTATAGCAGTACCACTTGTTATCGTTGGTGGAGTAGTTGTTATTGCTATGATGTCAATTAAAAAATGACACTTTAATCTATATGTTTAATCCTTTACTGTTAGATGTTGCATGTATGTGTAATAATGACTTTCATATATTTCAAAATAAAGATGAGGATGAATTATTCATTCCTACATCCACACACTATATTTCCTACGTATCCAAGCAATGTTTTGTCTTATAATATTATATCAAAATAAATGTAAAATCAAAAGAACAGAATCAGTTGTAACTTATGATAATGTCACTTGGAATGTCTTAATTTCCATTGGATTGAGCATGACTATTGTATCTTTTAGGAAAGATGACTCTAGAAGAAAATAAATCATCGAGATAGTTGTTCAAAATGATACTCACTTGACATGTCAATATGTGACGATTCGTTATTATTTGTCATCCAACTGAGCCGTTGCAATTGGGACAGAGGCAAATTGGCCCCAAGTGCCAATTCGATTACGCCAGTAATTGTGCCGAGACTTTTGAATAATGTTTGTAGATCAATTCTGACCGGCTGTGAATAAGTTTGATCTTCATTCAGTTCAAAATAATGTTCAATACGAAGAAGAAATTGTTTGGAATTCAGTTGATCGAATGTCAACAAATGAACATTGAGCGGCATGTTTTCCGACAGAGCAGACTATGTTTGATAATAGTTACTCGAGTAATTTGCATAGGATATTTGGGATGAAGCAAAAGTAATAATCGGACTCATGAACAATTGTTGAGCGGCGACTCGATGAGCAAGACCACTGTTTGCAGGTGACTCGACAATGAGAAGATGTCTACCACGTACTACAAGACCTTTGCCAAAGGCTGTTTCATTTAATGGTTCATCGACGCCAAGTGAATCATCGTGAATACTTCCACCTCCTTGAGATCGATCTAAATACAAAATAAATTTGTTCAGAAGATGCCAAGAAAATCGCTTCTAGTTAGTTCTATCATTGCTTGTAAGTACGGTCAATTGCCGTGTAGCATCTCGAATCCAAATACGACTATTAATTGGATAATAATTACCACTAACATTTTCAACAATCGAATAGTTCCATGTTGGTCGATAATTTCGTATTCGTTCGAGTACTTCACGTCCATTGGCATCCGTAGAATATTTCGATGCACTATCAATATCAGTATCGTACCGTACAATAATCTCTTTACCAACATTATCATCAATCGGAATGGGTCCGACTGTCCATTCAACTTCAACAGATGACATTTCTTGGTAAAGATTGACTTCCTGACTGACCCATTCATTAAATACAATTAATGCCGATTGAACTGTTTTCGTTTTTGTACACGTTCTAAGTTTATAGCTGAAATTCGTCTAAGGATAATTTCTATGAATCTCTCACATAGTACGAGTAGTGCTCACAGGCTGTACTTCCGATGTCAATGGTCGGAAAACATACGCTCCGGATGCTTGAAATTCGATAGCAGAATTGTTACCCGGAAAACCTTAAAAACCGACTAATGTTTTCGAACTATCGACTAGTTATTCACTTACTCGTGTACCAGTAAAAGCCCTGTGCAGCAAATGATACCGAAATATTTTTCTTCAAATTGATAATCTGATGTAGATTGCCTTGATCATCAAATTCTACTCGAAGATTCTACCAATGACAATCCAATTTGATTGTAGAGCACAATTCAATCTGTTACTTCATTCTTCAAATAGCACATTTCCTTTGGTACTTTTGTCACATTCTTTCTTTCGATCTTCTCACTAACTTTTTTTATTTCGAAATAATAAGTACTAAAGCCAAGAGCAGATAGCGCAACCGTGAATATGTACTGATTTCGAGCAGAACTCTCTCGGGCAGGAATATTCTGTGTCATATTTGAAATAGGACGATACTGAGAAAATAGAGAAAAGATATTTGAAAATTTTCCTTTAGAAAACCGCACTTCAGCTGGTACAACATTTCCCATTGGATCGCGAATCAAATATTCTTTTGTCACGGGCACACGAACATGATAAGTAACGGGATGAATAGTTGGATTCCGAAGTGTCGATGTGAACTATGAAAACAATATTTGCTGAATACAAAGAAATAGTTTTCGGTATTTACTCGGTTTTGTCCTTCAATAGGTAAACATTCGCTGATATTTAAATATTGACAACGAAATTGAGGTGCTGCCATTGGTAATTGACTTTTCTTAGGCAATAATTTCGCATAAGCATTATTGATCACATTCTTTAAGAATTGAACTTACAAATGACATAATATTTGACTAACATACCGCAGATTTGTCTATTCCTTTAGATAATCGTTGAGCATAATCATCGGCAACATGTTGTTTCTCTGTTGCACTAATTGCATCGTGATGTTGAGCAATACCCATTGCCTCATCTATAATGCTAACAACTTTAGATCGTGAGAAGATAGAATATACTCGTTTTACTTAAATCAAAAATACTGTGGCGTAAATTGATTTGTGAAAATGCATTGAGTTGACGTGTAACTTGAAGAATATTATTTGCATATCGTTCATAACGTTTGAAAGCAAGTCGTGAAGTAAAAAAACCTGTCCAAAATCCGTGTGGTGTATCACCGTATGGAAAGAAATCATCCGTTTTCGATGTCCATTCTCAACCAGCTTTGTTCAACGCATACATGTAGCATGAAGGTGTCGAATTAGAACACATTAACATCGCAATCATTCGTTTGTTGAATATATCAATAGGAAAAGTTCAATGAGAATTAATACGAATGAATACCTGAGCATTGACGTACTTCATCAATTTATCCAAATTTGTGAACCATGTATGAGCATTTTCATATTGAAAATCGCGACCCATTGTCATTATGTTATGATTAGTAACAAAACCTTTTGCCTAAAAAGATGATTATTTTATTTCACAATGATATGGTCAAAAACAAACCTGATCGTGTGCAGCATTGATGAACCCTTGAACTCGTTCAGGAACATTGTAATCATGTAAACGGGGATCGTCCTTTAACAAACATATACATACAAAAACGAAAGATATTAGAACATGACTAACCATAATAGGTGGATCTTGACAAGACTGATCGAAACAGAACGTGTCTGGTGGATCGTAAAAATTCGACAAAATGCTTGTAAATAACCAACTTCGACGATCTAAACACATTTGTGTTGCTGTAGAATTCGTGAGATATTCTAATTATCGAGACGTACCTAAATTGACACTACCCTTCCAGACAAATTCCATTGTTTTTGTTTGATTACGTCGATCTTCATCTTGATAATCGAGTCGTGCAAAAAATACACCATCAAAGCCCATCTTTAATATGAGAAAAAGAGAGTAGATACATTTCTTCGTTGCCATTAGACCTGTGCAAAAAGTGATGCAGCTTCACGTGAATGACCAAACGGATCGATTTGCCAGGCAATCTTTGGTCGAGCACAATCACCAACTTGATCACGTAAAAATTTCGCTCCTAAACTATGCTGATCGATGATCGAATTGTAAAATGTGTTGTTGCTTCATCATGCATAGACCATCCACCAGAAATAAACTCAAGGCGACCTAATTTATACAGATTGAAGACAATTAAATCAATATTTATATTTACCGTCGTTCACGAGCTTCTTGACGATGTTACGCGTATCGTTCGATTGTTCGTTCCACCAACGCCAGAAAAAGGCGATTTCAACATAGATAAAACATCGTTCTGGATTATCCACTAATGCTTCGATGACCGAATCGAGAATGTATTGAACACGCACCGACATGCTGAATATTATTTCGAACTATACAGAATATATGAAAAAGGTTAACTAAAAATGGTTCCAGCGATTCCAAATTTATTCGATACACATATAGAAAGACTTTGTGAAACAAGGTTCTTCTATTTACAACCATAATAGTATTGATCGATTGTTTTGAGCCAACCAACATCATCATGTGTGTGTAGAACTATATGAACATTAAGTTTATTTTCTTGACCCAAATTGCATGACTACAACGAGATACTTATCTCGTCTAACTATCAATAGAGATTCGCTTTATATACTTCATAACCACAAGTATTTCGTGACTTATGTGATGTTTCAAAACACTGCACAACAACCAAAAGAAGAATTGCATAGTCGATGGAAATGTGCATTGTTCGTGAACACAGCTGTCATAAAGAAAAGCAGAGTCTATACTTCTTCAATGTGACCAAATTGAAAGATAAGACAATCATTCTCCGTGGTATAGATAACAAACCAATGACTCCTCTGATACGAAGAAGGTGTGGGGGATGAATGTCAATCACCTTCACTCGCCTAAAAAATCTGGTTCTCAACAAAGATTCTTTTATTAATATTGATAAACATTGCAAGAGAAGTGAAATTCACGAGACGAGAAGCAAATCATGTTTGATGAGTTATAAATGACGAGTAAAATGTTTTTGTATTTGATCTCGATACGTACGAATTGTTTTTCGAAATTCTTTTTTATAAAATTTCGATGGTAAAATAAAAATGAGAAAAGTTGTTATTGGTGGAATTAATGTTAAGAAATATCCCGTTAAAAATAACCATCCATCTCCGACTGAATATGAACATTTCGATGTAAAAGCGATAATTAAACGCGGAATGGCAAGTAAAACTAAAATAATTGGTGCAATCAATAAATGTTTACGTTGAAAAATTTGTTTTTGAATAATTTTCTTGAAAGTTTCTTTCGTTTGAGTAACATATGTTTGACGAGATTTGATTGTAATCAAAAGAATTGATGAAATCATATTTGATAGAAATGGAACAAGAAAATGAATAATATGAATAGTTGAATTATATGTTTGTAAACGAGATGAATAATTGACTGTACACCAAATTCGTGTTCCACTCGGATTTTCTTCTGTTATTAAACGACGATGAATGGGATCATGAATATTACTTGAAATTGCAAGAAGAAAAATCATTGGAATAACATATTTCACTGCTTGTCGACTTTTCTTTTTCTTAAATTGAATACCTTTCACTGTTGTTACGGCTCGTTCAATGGCCACACTTGAATTTAACAATTGATCCGTATAAAGAAAAGTTCGAAAGAGGAAATCCATTGTACGACATTGATACAATATAAACGTTCGATTCATCACTATTGACATGTGTATGAGAAGAAAAATCGAAAATTTCATTGCAAAACTAATCATTATCAGCAGAGTAGTTACTGATGAACCTAATAGATAATATCCACAACCAACTTCACGTACATTTTTCTTTAAAAATGTCATCAAAGTACAAAGACCATTGATTAAACCAAAGATAAGAATAATCAGACTAACTGTCACACTTATTTGCACAATAATTGGTTGAGAAACGAGTCGAACTTGTGGTTGAATATGATATCCTAAGATTCCATCTAATGAAAAATCAAATCCATTTGTTCGAAATTGGCATCGAGCACCATAAAAACATTGGGGACAAACACAAATTATTTTCTCGGGACAAATATCTGAATGTTGAAAACATTGACCATTATTTTCACATAAATTTTGTCCATAACAATCGAATTTCATTTTATGATTGAAAAGAAAACAATTTGCTAAATATTTCTGCTGAAATTCATAACATAAACACACATGAGTATCATCATAAAAACAAGACAGATCGAGAGAGTATTTTTCACATGGTAAATGATAATATTTCATTCGACGAATAGATGGATAATCAAGAATTATTTTATTGAAAATTTCACTTATATGTCGACAACGATCGGATGGATGAATTGTTTTTATTATCGATCCTGTTCTGTTTTGATACTTATCGACAGTAATTAAATAATATTTCTGTTGAAGAAATTCAATAAAAAGAACACCAAATGTATCTGCAACTTCGATGGTTATCGTCTTTTGATTAATAGGTATCATTTCAAAAAGAGTTGTTCTCAATGGCCCTATAAAGGGACGGATAGAAAGTATATGAATAGATATTGATTGTGTTACAGATATATCTTTTCCAAAAGATAATATAAGTTGCCTTCGCGTACTTTCACATCGTGTACCGTAAAATCCTTTTCGACATCGACAAATAAACGAACCAGAACCTTGATTTATATCTTTATTAATCGGTATACATTGACCACCGTTTTGACATCTTACTGATCCATTTGTTTGACATATTGTATCGATAAGAAAACATCGAGGACCATAACGATTCACTGGACAAACGCATATTGAACGATTCGATGTTGAAACCCCAATACAGATCGAATCCGATGAGCACAAACATCGATAAGGAATCTGACAAAACTTTCCTGACCATCCATAATCACATTGACAAAACGTCGCCTTTTCCGGATGATTAAAATATCGGATACATTTCCCGTGAAGACATCGTCTATCGGAACAAATGACAGTTTCATTATTCGATGGAATATGTATATAATACGAAAGACGATGAACAGGTAGAAATGGATATGAAATAGAGAATAATAAACTTCCTCGATAACCTAATGATAATTTCTCATAGAAATCCATATGGATGAAATATTGTTTTGTTACATTTTTTGGTCGAATTGAATACGTGAGATAAAATCGGTGTTTCTCGTAACATCTTGTTGTTGGATAGGCGGTGAATTGATAAGAAGAATGAACAATACGTGATTCGTCATTATCAATAAGTGAAATAATTATCGCAAATGGAATCCGATGAATATTTTCTGGCGCCGAAATGAGCAAAGAAACACTTACGCGTTGATTCTGATATTGACATACATCACCATAATAATACGATGGACAAAGACATGATCTTTTGTTTGTATTACCTGTCCAAAGTCGAATATCGATTCCATAATGACAACGATGAAGATTATTTGAAACTGAAATTAAAGATGAACGTGTTTGAGTTGGAATTTGAAGTGAAAACCTTTTTGAATGATAATATTGAGTAACTTCTAAACTTCGACACATAAAATAGTTAATATCAAAATGTTTGTCGCTGATTGAAGTAGAACATCGGTTAATCCATCTATATGAGTCATGATGATTTGTACAAAATTGTTCATCATCTCCATGTAGACAATCATTTTGACCATCGCAAATCAGAGTCGCATCAATACATGATTTGATTTCATCATTTCTACAACGAAATTGATTGTAACTATCTGAAAAACTTTTTCGTCGACATATTTTTGGCTCATCAATACCGCCCAAACAATTGATCATCCCATCGTTTATTTTCTCCGAAGGTAAACACATCAATTGGCTCGTTTGTGGTGAAACACAAATATGTTGATTGAAAGAACAATTTATCGGTGATGAACGATCACAAGAAAGTTCATCCACTCCGTTGAGACAATTCCATATTCCATCACAACGAGTATATAGATTATTACAAGGCCATCGGTCACAATTAGTTTCGTCCGTTTCATTAGTGACTGGATCAGTAATATCAACAAATCCATCGCATGTCAATTCAAATGGGATTGTTTTCCAATCGAGATGTGAGAGATATTTTTTATCTTCGTTACAAATTTCATCGTTATTACTAGCACAAGTACATTGGAGTGGACGAAATCCCCAAAGGAGAGTATATTTCTTAGTAAACATTGGGCATCGGATTATTTTTCGTTTGAACAATTCTTGTATTACGGCATTTTCGAATCGAATTTCGTCTTCATCATCGGCATAAGGACAATCTGGCATGAAATCTAATAAACGATACAATGAAATACATTTCGATGAATTTCGACATTGATACATATCCGAACGTTGACATAGTTCTGTCGAATAATTCAGTAAAAGACTATTTTGTTGTAGAACTTCATTTGTATACGCAAAAATTGTTAACCCTGCTGATCGCATTTGTTGATCTAATAGCCATGTCATATGGTAATAACATTGCGTCGTATTGAAGAAGATTTTCGGCAAATGAATAAAATATTTCTCATAGAGTGAATTATTTGTACAAAGATAAAAGGTCCAATATTTGTTTTGAACATTCGTTTGTGAAATATTTTTAATATACATCATATAGATATCACCAAATAGAACCGGAACAGATGAGACTTGAATGATATCGGGACACATTTCTTCAACATATCTAATGTTTTCTTCAAGAGTGTTGAAATTATTGCAAACGATTCCAACTAGTTCCAAACTACAAATGAATGCTGTCGAACAATCATCAGAGATACGTTCATCTTTCATCGACAATAGTTTTTCAATTAGAAATACATGATGAGATTCGATACAAGAACTTGTTAGAAATGTAATTGTACATGTATTATCTTCGAAATAAGATATTTGCGAAAAGAATACATGAAATCCTTGTTTGTTATATTTTTGATCTTCATCACTACGATCAAGACAATCATGACCATCTTTAGAGCGATAAAAATGCCACGAAATACATTGTCCATTGTGACATCGATATTCGTCATCTTTACAATCATTCAATTCCAACTGCCAACAATGTTCTTCATCGACTGCACCATTCAAACAATTGACATGTCCATCACAAATTTCGCTCCAATCTAAACATCCTAACATCCCATAACCACGATCGCATGACAAATGAACATAACATGTCAAACGCGTTATTTGTAATTGACCAAGACGATTTACAATTTCTTCATAATTGTAAATAGGGAAATTCATATCATCGAGAAAATCATATTCGTATTGACATGTTGAACCAAATCGCGGCAGTGTACAATTAGAGAAAACTTTCTTGGACAAAACTAAATCATATTTTGCTATTGAAAGTTGATTCAAATAGAATTGATAATCTTCAACAAGATCAATCGGCGCTGACCAAAGAAGTAATTGTCCACTGGTGATATTCTCTTGGGATAATTGAGCGAAAGTGTATTTTGGAAAACGATCGTTTTCTTCAAGATTAACATTCACAAAGAATTCACTTAGACAAAAATTCATGAATCCACTGAATGAATTATCATGTCGCAAACAATCATGTTCAAGTGTAAAACCATTTTCACTTCGATCTATCGGATCTGTAAAATGCAGATTGAGTTGTGGTGTTGTGAAAACCAATTGAATAAGAATGAGATAGAAGAAGACATAGTTTGATAAGAACATTTTTGTCAATGAACGGTTCAAACTCCCATATCCACTAACATCTTGGTTTTTTTCTTTTCAATATTGGAAAATCTGCGTAGGCTCAATTTATTCAACGTGCAATTGGAATATTTGAAAAGTCAATGACGAAGTGCGGTATAACGGTTATACTACATAAAGAATGTGTGCGTGTTTTGATAGTATTGCTCTTATGAAATACTTTCCTTCAACATATTCAAAAAATTCGGATAAATAACATCAATCATATAAATATATTAAGTTCATATGATGCCCTACATAGGATATCGTTGAGCAGGATTCGACATTTCCTTCAGCTGATTCATTTCGGTGTATGTTTCAACCGAACTAGCACTGATTCCAATTGTAAAAATATTCACACCCTCACACCCTACTCGCTCTCAAACTTGAAGCTAATCAGAAACATACGACATTAATCAATTGTATAATAAAAGAATGTAATAGGAGAAAAAAGTTTCAACAGTACGTATATTTTCAAAGAAAAACTTGTCTGATTTCATTAATGAACTTATAATGAAATGTTTAAGGATTAATCAATCCACATTGATTAAAAAAAACCATGATATTATTCGAAAGTGTATTGACAACTGTTAAATCTAATCTTGAATCTTTGTTCAAATCACCTGATAATAATGAAATCGGATTATTTCCAACTGTATATATTATTTGACTCCTGAATGTTCCATCTCCATTACCAAATAATAAACTGATCGTATTATCACCTTGATTAGCCACTACTAAATCTAATTTTGTATCATGATTAAAATCACCTGATATAATCGAAAGAGGATTTTTACCAACTGTATTTAGTTTCTCAGAATGAAAACTTCCATCTCCATTTCCAAGTAAGATACTGATCATATTGTTTTCTCCATAAGCTAATATTAAATCGAAATTGTTATCACTATTGAAATCATTTGATATGATGACATTGGGTTTATTGTTAACTTTAATGAATAATTGAGATTGAAAAGTACCATTTCCATGACCTAAAAGAAGACTAATTGTACGATTATCTTGATTTGCTATAGCCAAATCTTGATTGTTGTCATTGTTGAAATCCTTTGATACTGCACCTATTGGACCCATACCTACTATGAATATTAGTTGAGATTGAAAGGTTCCATTTCCAATACCAATCAGTACGCTTATAGTATTATTTCGTCCATTGGTCACCACCAAATCGACAATTTTATCATTATTCAAGTCAGTTGATATCACAGAACTTGGTTTGCGTCCAACTAATATTTCTTCTCCAGACGTAAAGTATATGTAATCATTATTAAGTACGACATTAAACGTGTTGCTATATTGATTGGTTACAATTACATCTAGCTTGAAATCATTATTCAAATCTTGCAATACAATGAAAGATGGACCAATGTCAACTACAATCGTTTTTTCAAGTCGAAACGTTCCATTTCTAGTGCCTAATAATACACTAATACTACTATTGTCTTGATTGGCCACTACCAGATCCAAACTATCATCTTTGTTGATATCACCTGTCGTCAGAAAACATGGATGATCACCTACAGTATATTTACTATGAANTAGCTTGAAATCATTATTCAAATCTTGCAATACAATGAAAGATGGACCAATGTCAACTACAATCGTTTTTTCAAGTCGAAACGTTCCATTTCTAGTGCCTAATAATACACTAATACTACTATTGTCTTGATTGGCCACTACCAGATCCAAACTATCATCTTTGTTGATATCACCTGTCGTCAGAAAACATGGATGATCACCTACAGTATATTTACTATGAACGAAGAATGTTCCATTTCCATAGCCCATTAGTATAATAGCACTATTGTCATTTCGACTGGATACTGCGAGATCCTTCCAGCCATCATTGTTTAAATCACCTGCACTGACAGAAGATGGGCCATTGCCAACTGTGAATACAATCTGGGATGAAAATGTTCCATTTCCATAACCAAGTAACATGCTGAGAGTATTATCGTCATAATTGGCCACGACAAGATCTTCATTAGTATCATTGTTCAAATCATCCACTATTACAAATAAGGGAGATTTGCCAACGATATATGATATTTGAGAAGTGAATGTTCCATTTTCATAGTCAAGTAACACACTAATAGTATTGTCTCCATAGTTCGCTACTACTACGTCTATATTGTCAATCTGATTGATATAATTTGCTAATACAAAAGATGGATTTTTGCCGACTGGAAATGCAACTGAAGAAGTAAATTTTCCATTTGAATAGCCAAATAATAAGCTAACAGTATCATCATTATAGTTAGTCACAATTAGATCAATGATTTTATCATTGTTGAAATCACCTGTTGAGATGGAAGATGGACTGGCACCAACTCGATACATAAGTTGAGAGGTAAATGTTCCGTCTCCATTGCTAAGCAATATACTGACAGTATTATTTCCTCGATTAGAAATTGCTAAATCTAGATTTTGATCACTGTTGAAATCAGCTAATACCATAGAAACTGGATTCATGCCAACGATAAACTTGTTTTTTACTAAATGAAAGAGTCCACCATTTGTACCTAATTGTATACTAACAGTGTCACTATTTTGATTTATTATTATCAAATCCGAATACGTATCATTGTTGAGATCAGATGATATCATAAAGCTTGGTTGCTTATCTACTCCATATACTGGTTGTACTGGAAACGTTCCATCTCCTTTGTTGAGTAACACAGTGACAGTATTGTCGTCAGAGTTCGCCACTACCAAATCAAAATTGTTACTATCACGTAAATCACCTGATGCCAAAGAGGTCGGGGTTGAACCAGTCGCATAATTTATACGACTTCCGAATGCTCCCCTTCCATTGCCAAATAGTAGACTAACCGTATTATCGTCCATATTGGTTACTGCAATATCTAGATCACTATCGTTATCGAAATCATAGGTTATTACAGAAGATGGTGATGATCCAACAGAATATACAATTATATCACTAAATGTTCCGTTGCCATCGCCGATCAGCACGCTGATACTATTTCTATCAGTGTTTGTTACTACTAGATCTAATGCTGCATCTTTGTTAAAGTCACCTATCGCCATAGAGACTGGATTTCCAACCAAAGGAAAAGAGATTTGATTGTTGAATACTCCATTTCCATCTCCTAATAATATGCCAACAGTGCTGCTAAAATAGTTGGCTACTGCTACATCTAATATTGCATCATTGTTGAAATCTTCAGTTATTACACAATTTGGAGCCTGATCTGTGGTATAGTTCGTTGCAGAAGCGAATGATCCATTACCATATCCCAACATTACGCTAATAGTATTATCACCATAGTTGCTGACTATTAGATCTAGTTTCGTGTCATTGTTTAAGTCACCCACTGTCACAGATCTGGGTAATGCACCGACACTTAAAGCTATTTGATCGGCGAAACGTCCATCCCCGTATCCGAACAGTATGCTAACAGTGTTGCTAAGATAGTTGGCCACTGCTATATCTAATACTTCATCGTTATTGAAATCACCAGTTGTTACAGAGATTGGGAAGGTGTTAACAGTATAGGTAATTTGACCAATAAATGTTCCATCTCCATTACCAAGCATAACACTCACACTATTATCTCCTTTATTAGCCGCGACTAAATCCAGTTTTTTGTCATTATTAAGATCGCTTAATATTACACAGCTAGGCGCTTCACGAGTTGCATAAACTGATTGATCTTGAAATGTTCCCTGACCATTTCCAAACAGTATACCAATATTGTTATCTTGTTGATTCAATACTATTAGATCTAAATTTGTATTGTAATCGAAATCATCCAGTACTGTAGAAATTGGATAGTTGCCAGTCTTGTAACTACGTCGATCGCCATATGGGGTATAACATACTGGTACTATAACAAGATATATACATTCATTGAAGATAAAGTTTTAGTGATATCTAAGTTATTCGGAGATCGGGAAAGAAAAGAAATAGGCAGTAACAAAACTCATACTTTTTGAAATAATGTTCGTTCTTGTTCCCAAAACTGTACCAAGAATAATCGCACCAATGAATGAAATGGTTAATAAACATAATGGAATAGCAAATCTTTTCTTTCGATACCAACTACGTCTAATAAATACAATCAAGATTTTCATCAGAAATATATTTGAAAAAGTATATAGTTGTTAGACTTACGTCAGTTTTGGATAAAGAAGCGCACCTAAGATATGGAAATAGATTTAAAAAATGATTCGAAATATTTGAATTACCTGGAAAAGGTGGTTCTAATAAGATTTCATCAGGTTTGATTTGTTTTAAATGAATAATTTGAAGATCAGGTGCAGGACTAAATTGTGATTGAACAATCATATGTGTACCAGGTAAAAGAAGAATTTCATCTTCAGTAATAAAATGTGAATGAGCTTTGATTGTTCGTCCATTGATTGCTTCAACAGAAAATAATGTTCGATGACCTGAATTACCTAAATACATATTATTTTCCAGAACAGTTAATTCAGTTGTACATGATGAAAATGACCACCAAGTCACTTGTGTACCAGGTGGAAAATCAGCACTTAGATTTTTTGTCACTCCTCTCCATAAAGTTAATGATGGAACACATGGTAATTTAACAAGTGCAGTTAGAAATAATTTCAGATATTTCAAATAAGGACGAAGATTT